GAGAGATACGTCTACCGGACCTTAGAATGGCCGGACTCGACGTATATGAGAGGAGACAGAGTCAGGAACAATCCGAAATCAAGGGCACAGAGAGACAGCGTAAACTAGGACAAGCCGGGGTCTGGTACACAGTAAACAACAAGCCGACAACCAGAACAGAAGGATAAAGAGAAAACGTAGTCAGAAACAAAGCCAAGGTCAATACGGAGAAACACAACTGAACACAACAAGCGCTAAAGGGAACTGATACAGAAACCACGATAGGGCAAGGAACAAAGGAAAGAAGGTGAGTATAAATACCTAAACATCTACTTTGATTGGTCCCTGTCACATCCACGCCCCCAAAAGGTAAGTGTATGGGGAGTGTGGCATGACAGGGACCAATGGGATGCCTTTTCCAATTTAGGCACCCACTGTCCCTTTAAGAGCGCGCCCGATACCCGCGGCGCGCTCTTAGAGTAGGTGGAACATGTGACCGCTACTAGTCACAGCGGTCGGCTGAGCCGCGCGCGGCTCGTGCAGCAGCAGGACCGCGCGCGGCTCGAACAGAGGACCCCGGCCGGCCCCTGGAAAGGGTAAGTACAGCATCTTGAGACTGTTAATACCTTGAACCCAGCTACCCTCTTGCCGCAACCTACTGAGAGTCGACATGATTGCCTGGAGGTAATGGATGAAGTGTTCTCAAGTAGACCGGACCTTCATGATTTTCCCATCCAGAACCCCGATGTTCAGTATTACACCGACAGCAGTAGAGTGAAAGAAGGGATTCGCTATGCCGGATATGCAGTGACAACTATAGACAAGGTGATAGAAGCGCGGCCATTGTCAAAAGGAACATCAGCACAGAAGGCAGAATTAATCGCACTTACACAGGCTTTGCAATTGGCTGAAGGGTTGAAAGTAAATATCTACACAGACTCAAAGTACGCGTTTTTAACCACTCATGCCCATGGAGCTTTGTATAAAGAAAGAGGATTACTGACCTCAGAAGGAAAAGAAATCAAGTAGGCAGCTGAGATATTACAACTATTGGAAGCTGTATGGGAGCCGAAGGAAGTTGGTTTCATACATTGTCGAGCACATCTGAAAGGTGATGGTGATGTGGTGAAAGGAAATCGGATGGCAGATAGTGCAGCTAAGCGTGCCGCTGAATCCGGACAAAAAGAATATGTGGAGTGTGTAGCAGCTCTTATACCGACCCCTCTGTCCCAGTGGACTCCAGTTTATACAGCTCAAGAAGTAGAGTGGTTAAAGACTGAAGCTGGGAAATATTTGGAGAATAATTGGTATCAGTTAGAAGATGGAAGAATAGTTATTCCAGCATCGCTAGCTGTAGAAATTGTCCAGAATTATCATAATGGGACACATTCTGGAAGAGATAGTATGGAAGAATCTCTTAGGAAGCATTTCTACATACCAAGATTGTCCAACTTGACTCAAGCCATTGCTTGAAGATGCGTGTCATGTGCCAAGAACAACGCAAGGCAAGGTCCAGTGAAACCACCGGGAGTCCAGTATATGGGAGGGCTTCCTATGTCCGATCTCCAAATAGACTACACGGTAATGCCCAAATCCGGCGGACATCGTTACCTACTAGTAGCTGTGTGTACCTACTCAGGATGGGTAGAGGCGTGTCCAACTCGTACAGAGAAAGCAGGAGAAGTTGTGTGATTTCTGTTGCGAGAAATAATAGCCCGATATGGACTACCGTGTTCTATAGGATCAGATAATGGTCCAGCTTTTGTCCATCAGTGCCTACAACAACTGACTCATATGCTTGGTATTAAGTGGAAACTTCATACAGCATATAGGCCTCAGAGTTCTGGGAAAGTGGAAAGGATGAACAGAACCATTAAGACCCAGTTGGCAAAAATGTGTCAAGAAACCCAACTCAAGTGGAATGTTCTTTTGCCAATAGCTCTGTTGCGCATTCGTAGTACATCTACCAGAAAGTTAGGTCTATCACCCTTTGAAATTATGTATGGGCGTCCACCTCCCATACTTAGTAACTTAAGGGGGACTTGAGTCCGTTGGGAGAAGGAATTACCCGGCGGCAGGTTGTAGAGTTGGGTAAAACTATGGAGGAGGTACAGAAATGGGTACAAGATAGGTTACCTGTAAATATTTATCCACCTGTCCATTCTTACCATCCAGGAGACCAAGTTTGGATAAAGGAGTGGAACAGTGTACCGTTGGGGCCAAAGTGGAGGGGTCCTTATGCTGTTCTTTTGTCTACTCCAACAGCTATAAAGGTGGCAGAGGTGACTGGATTCATCACTCCAGGGTTAAACCAGCAGCAGATTCTTGGCAAGCTACTCAAGATCCTGAGAATCCCTGCAAGATCCGGTTGAAGCGAGTGACCCAGTTAGATTAAAAGTGTTTTTTGCGAAGAGTATTGTTACAAGGGAACATCAACAAAGATCTACAAGTAGGTGTTTTGACGGCCACAATAAAGCCTGACCACCTACCAACGTTTAAGCCAGAGGAATCCTCTGTGAAGAACAGTGAGGATCAGAAGGACTCCATTCCCTGCAGCCCTCACACGCCTGGAAGCTGAGGTGCCGTCGCACGGTCGAAGAATTAGGAAGAAGATGTCAGGTGTAATGTGTTTGATGATGTATATATGTATGTTTTTAATTATTCAGGAAGGTAGAGGTACCGACACCAGGCTGCGAGGTTTGCATTAAGACTATGAAAACAGGCAATCGTATTTCCCAGACCCTTATTTGGCATTCCCAATATGAGTGCACAGGACATGTATCAAAGTGTAGATACCTAGGTACAGATTATAGTGTATGCCATATAGGAGCAGGAGAACCTAGGTGTTTTAATCCTGAGTATCAGCCCCGTACAATTTGGTTGACTATTCGGAATGAGAACGCACAGGGGAACCTGATAAATAAGACTGTACTAGAAAGCGTACATTCTCCAGGTGTTTTGCTATTTGATGTATGTAAGGCGATATCAGGTAGTAGGAAGCCATGGAATGTATGTGGTGGTCTTAAATGGGAAAGAACGTATGGGTCTAATGATAAGTATATTTGTCCTAGTAATAAGCATAAGTATATAGATCCAAACTGCCTAAATAAAGACTACAATTATTGTCCGTATTGGTCCTGTGTGGGATGGGCAACCTGGGGACAGACAGTAGATAAGGATATGATTATCACTAGATTGCCTACCAAGCCATATTGTAAGTCTATGGAGTGTAACCCAGTCCATATACTTATCAAGGACCCTATTTATAGATAGGTTTGGGAATCTATTTGGGTTCCAAGTATATGGAACCAGTTTGGATCCTGGGACGATATTATACATAGGAATAGAGACAGATACAGTGGCCCCCCAGACTCATCAGGTTTTCCATTCTTTTTATGAGGAGATGAGTGTGGAAGATAAGGTTCCCCATAATGCCAAAATCTTATTCATAGACCTAGCTGAGAGCATTGCTGGTAGTCTTAATGTAACCAACTGCTATGTGTGTGGAGGTACTAAAATGGGAGACCAATGGCCTTGGGAAGCAAAGGAGGTAATGTATTCTGGTTCTGAGACAGTTGAACAACTAATATCTTCTCAATCTGATTATCAAGTGAGTGTTAGAGGTAAATCTGAGTGGCGATTAAAGACCTCCATTATAGGTTATGTTTGTATAGCAAGGAAAGGAATAATGTTTAATACATCTGTAGGAGAATTGACTTGTTTAGGGCAGAAAGCCTATAATGACGATACAAAGGATACTATTTGGTGGTCAGCTTCAAATGTCTCAGAACCGTCTAATCCGTTTGCAAATTATACCAATTTAAAGGATGTATGGTTTGACCTATCTGCTACATCTAGTTGGAAAGCCCCAGCAAATTTGTACTGGATTTGTGGTAAGAAAGCATATTCGGAGTTACCACAGGACTGACAAGGGGCATGTGTATTGGGTATGCTCAAACCATCCTTCTTCTTGTTGCCAATTGAAACAGGAGAGACTTTGGGAGTTAAAGTATATGATGTAAATCATAGGAAGAAAAGGGCACCCCTAGAGATAGGTACCTGGGAAGATGATGAGTGGCCTCCCCAGCGTATTATAGATTATTATGGGCCAGCTACGTGGGCAGAGGATGGTACTTATGGATACAGAACCCCAATATAAATGCTTAATCGTATTATAAGATTGCAAGCAGTAGTTGAGATAGTTACCAATGAAACATCACAAGCGCTCAATCTCCTAGCGAAGCATAACACTAGGATGAGGACAGCCATCTACCAGAATAGATTAGTTTTGGATTACCTATTGGCAGTAGAGGGAGGTGTATGTGGGAAGTTTAATCTAAGCAATTGTTGTCTTCAAATAGATGATGAAGGGCAAGCAATAGCTGAGCTTACTAGCCATATGGTTAAGCTAGCACATGTACCTACTCAGGTATGGAAAGGGTATAATCCGAGTAGTTGGTTTGGTAGTTGGTATGAGCAGTTTGGAGGAATCAAGGCATTGGTAGGTGGAGTCATACTGATTTTGATGTTGTGTCTCCTTCTGCCATGTCTGATTCCTTTGGTAATTAGGTCTATGCAGAGTATTATAGAAAGTATAGCAGAAAGAAAGGCCGCAGCACAGATAATGGCTGTGTGGCGAAACCGGCCTCGCCACGTGTCCTTGGAGGGGGCTGCTTGCCCGCCTCTTGCCTTTGGACTATGGACCAGACTTTATGTGAATGTATTAACCCAGATAGCTATGCCATGGAGCCCATTCGTGTAGTTAAAGACTTCGGCTCAATGGTAATTGAACTGTGCGCTCAGATCCCAGCTATCTGGGGATATGTGACATGTCTGTGTTTTATGTATAAAATGTGACTTTGTGTATTTTATAATATTTTAATGCTTTGTGCTCACCATGTGCATAATGGAGTTGTGTGTCTGTCCTGGGAGATAATTGAATTACTTCTCAATTCAATCTCCAGGATAGAAGGCTCTGAAACTGGTTTGGGCGGAAAGCCATGCTTCATTTAGTCACAAAGGACTTTCCCTTAACTTTTGAACCCCTGGTCTGATTCGTGCCATTTTTTAATATGTTGTTCCCCTGAATGGATTGATTATGAAAATGTATGCTTTATGTTTGTGACATGTATATTTTAGAAGTTATAAATATTGTGTAAAAACTGTATTCCTCTGCCGGTGATAATGAGATTACCCATTGTGTTCAGTAATCATATCACAGGCAGAGGGGAGGAGTTTGTGTGGGAGTGTCTGGGTGTATTGTACGGATTGATTGGTTGTTTTGTAACGCCCTGTGGGCTGTACTATGTTTGTGGATTGGGAATAAAAGAGACTGTATGTGACAGTACAGGGAGTTCCTGTTTTAACCCTCAAAGTGAAGTGTCGTCTCATTATTGGGGGAAGGATTTATTGTATGCTGTTCCAGTTTGACTGCTAGGAGAGTAAACCTATTCGTATGGTTCTTATTCAACTGTCTACAGCATTCATATGCTTGAGAGGATTCATATGCTTCTCCGGTTCGGTGGTTGTGGTGTCTGCTGCAGTGCTTGGAGTCCTCAGGAAGCGCCAGGAGCATCCTTTAACGGAGGTACCCAGTCGGGGTGCCAGGCGATCCGTTACAGGCTGTTTGCAGGTATGAAGCTCTAGATCAAGGAGAATACATGCAGGAAGAGGAATGTTGAGGGGTTTGTATCTTTAGAGGATTGCAAAGTCTAGTCTGGTTTATGGCAACTTGAGGTGTAAGCAAACTATCATTGGTGATGCATCTGGAATTATTTTAAATCAGAAGCATCAAAGGGGGGAATGTGATGGAATTCCAGTAAAATACAAGTTTAGCAGGCCAAGCTTGCCACAAGGTATATGTAGGTACATGTGTTTGTAGTATCAGTTAGTTAGTTACACGTAGCTAAGATACTGTCATCACTGTACTGAGCATGTGCAGGAATGCAGGAACTGGAATTACGCGTCCCTCTCCTTTGTTTCAGATGAGCCACGTGGTTAGACCGGATGGATGAGTTTAGTCTCTATTCATTGATTAGGTTAAGGGTATGTGTGGGCGTAGCTAATTATGGGAGAAGCTACAGTGCTATATAAGGAATGTACTCTATGTATTCAGTACTCAGATCTTTGCTGTTTTTGGTGACATAAGTCCCTCTGAGTCCCAGTCGGTGAATCGAATAAAGATCTCTTCCTTCCTGAAGAAACCTGTGTCCATCTCTCTGTGCTTGGCCTCCGTCAGTTTCCCGGTAACATTATCTTATCTGTAGTCTCTTTTGAAGGTATAGATTTATTTTCATTACTATATTGGGCTAATTTAACATATAGCTGTGAGAGGCTTTCTTCTCTTTTTTTGTGCCACTGTGCTGCCAGTTTTATCAAGTGTCCTCTAATGACACATTTAAATGCGCACCATTTAATCTCTGGCGAAATTCCAGAGTTCATATTTTCTAGGAAGTAATGTGCTATCATATCTGCAATGTATTCATTATTTCCCTCTGGCAGAAGTAGCTGGCCTGCAATCTCCAGTTTGGTCTTGTTGTACAAAATTGTTGATCGGACCAGCAGGGGCGGGCTGGGATGGGGGACAGGGAGGCAATTGCCCTCCAGGCCGCCCTAAATAATTTTAAAAACGGCCGCTGCAGGGTTGATCCTGGGTGCACCACACCCAGGTGCCAGGAGGTGGAGGGCGCCACGCAGAGTAGACCAATGGCCTGTAACAGGGAGCCCAGCAGGAGGAATAAGGTAGATGAAATGCAGTTCCAAGGTGATTCTTCCCAGCAAATAGAATATCCCCCAAACATGAGCCTAGACTTCATGAAGGGTGTAACAGGAATGAATTTTATTGACACACACAGGCTTTTATGAGAAATCCTCCTGCAAGAGGACCTCCCACAGCAAACAAAGACAACAGCCAATAAACACACAGATTTACAGTAATACACGCCTTCTCTCTGCCTGGGAGATATTGAGATAAGTTAAGGAATAAATCAATTATCTCCAGGAAGAGAGCACACAATTTCCCAAAACTCAGAACACCCCTTTCCCCCCCAGGTATGCCCACAAATTACATATCCCCTGATAGCCCCGATCTGGGGGACAAACATATCCAAATTTCACCCAGATCGGTTCAGGGGTTCTGAAAAAGTGTGGAGGGTCCCTTTTACCGACCACACACGCGGCTCCTGCCCAAAACAGTTCCATGAGTTGCGGTCGTTAGTGGGGCCTCATGTTTGAGTTTCGCCTAAGGCCTCATAAAGTCTAGAGCCGCCTCTGGGACACCTCAAGTGTCTGTGTCCCCAGGTCTCCCAGTGTCCCCATGTATCCCAGTGTCCCAATATCTCTCAATGTCCCCTAGTGGCATGGGGACACTGGGACTAGGAGACATGGGGACGCAGACACTAGGGACTGGGAGACATGGGGACACAGACATGCCCCCTTTTTGGGTATGTTCGCTGCTTTCGGCAGTTCTGGTTATGTGATTTGCATCATTGGCCCACCCTTTTACCTCTTCCATGGACTTCCTGCTGTTATGGGCAAATGTAAATATTACAAGTTTTAGAATGAAATGTTGTGTTTCTTAAACTGTGTACTTTGTCTTTAAGAGATATTGCAAACTGACAAGGTGTTAGAAATGGAACATATTGTTTTTCATAACTGTTTCTTTAAGCAATAACCTCAGTGCATAATATGTTTGCGCCATTTTGTCCCAGACGAATTACAATAACAATAATGCATAAACAAGCTTCAAGGCTATACTACGACACTTGCAGTACACAATATACCGTGGTAACCCCAAGTTAATGGAACTTCCCCAAATCCGGGAATCTCCCACGACTGTACACTTACGACTTAGTATAAACAACAGATAACCTATTCAGACTTTAAGATGCCATCTTGAACTAAGTCAGGAAAATTTCCATGACGTATACACCCTTTAGTTATGGCCTTGTATGTTTGCCAAGTTAAGGGAGGTCCTAAATTGAATAAAGTAAAAGAAGTGTTACTTTTTCATATTTGATCTACGGTAACCTAAAATGGAGACAGAGGTATAAATAGGTGTACTTTTAAATATTAAGATACAGAGGAGAGACTTGGAGACAGACGCTGCTCCATCTTAAAATGACAGAGAGGCTGACATGATGACATGTTCAGAAGGGTATGTTAACCTATTAATGATATTTGCAAGCATGTAATTTAATCTTATAAACTCTGCTATAAGGGATTTTATATTTATATTTTTATATAATAAATATCCAAAAGACAATCTTGCTTCCAAGACAATCCTTATTTTATATTGTGTTCTCAATTATTTATATATGTAAATAGAGGATCTCTTACACTACATAAAATTAAGGCTAAGATATCTGTATGGTTAGCCCTACTAAGTTCTATGCTTTAAGACATTATAGTGGTAAATAAGGGAACCACATGCGGTTACAATTGGCGACCACGAAGGGACTTTGTACTTGGAAGCTTTAAATATAAAATAAATACCTAGTTAACCTCTTATACGTAAGAGAAGACACAATACTTTGTCATTGCACAAGTCTTGAAATATCAAGAATCTATTGAGCCATGTGTAGCCCAGACTCAGAGAGAGATCTTCATCATTAGAGATGATTTTAATGTGAACAAGGCACTGTGAGTTCAGGTGCCAGGAACAACGTAATTAGCATAATATGCTGAAATTGTGGATCTTAACTAATATCATAATAGAACAAATATACATATTTGGTAAACTCCCTGATATGCCAAGCATAGCATGGTCCATTAGTTCCAGGACAGTGGATTGCAGACAGGGGGAAATGTTCTCTTTGTAGCTGCTTAGTATGCATGCGTAGGAAAAAGATTAATTCAAAATGTTGTCAAACGAAAGGTGATAAGACAGAGCGATGAAATTTGAAGTCTAATTACAAGAATGCAAAGAAAATTGCATTATGGCTCAATGAAAACATTCATGCAAAAGACAGACAGGATTTTTAATTATTACAATCTGCATCTGGATTCTAATGTCCACTATATATGAAAAGTTTGTAAAACAATGATATTTTCCATATTGTCAGTTACGCTAGCTGTTGATTAAAAATCAGAAATTATAACAGCATAACTATTTTTGGAGTCTGGAATTTCCAACTAAGGTTGCGGAGATACAGAGACATGTAAACATTCCAAGGAATTGAGAAGTCGTTTTTTTTTTATATTCCAAATTATGAACAACATTATTACATACAGCCATAAAGAGAAAGACAAGGCTTTTAAATACATTCAGTGCAGTACAATTCAGCATATATTTTATAAAACATATGCTAACTAGCTCATATTTTTTTCCTAAACAGAGTTGAAATTATACTACCCTGATAGACAAAAAGGGCAATAGGTGGTTATACATCCTTTGCTTCTCTAAATCCTATGCAAAAATAAATATTTATAAAATGATTAAAAATAATATCTATGTAAGATAAATCAGGGCAAAATAAAATGGTAACTATACAGGATCTCTGATAACTTTTAAACTGAAATTATTAAAGGCTTATTTAAATAAAATGTTAAATACATTTACAGCTTTAAAGGTGACCAAAAGATACTAAATGATGTGTTAAGCAGCCAGCCCAATTCACTAGAATAGCATAAGTATTCTATTATTTAAAGTGCACAATTCCTGCACAGTGACTTTGCTTACTCAGGTACAGTCTTAAGTCTATTGCAATGGCAGTAAAGTCCACCAATTTTAACCCCTTAAGGACGCAGCTTCAGAAGCTGGACATACCCTTAAGGACTCAAGCTATTTTTGCATTTTTTGCTGTTTGTGTTCAACTGCAATTTGCATCGCTCTCATTTATTGAATCAACACATATTATATATCGTTTTTTAAAGGACAAGATGGGCTTTACTTTGATGTGACTTATACATATATAATATCTAATTTATTATTAAAAAAAAGAAAAAAAAGAAAAAAAAAAGAAAAAAAATATATATTTTTCACAGATTTGGCAATAATAGTGTGTGTATAATATGTCCAGCTTAGGAAAAGTAATTCAAAATAAATTCATTTAGGTTTCTTGTTTTTCAAAGTGCATAATATGTAAAGGATTTCAGCTTATTTTAAAAGTTACAGGTCACAAAATACAAGGAGTAATATAAAATTGAAATGTGAAAAAAATTTAGAAGTTGGTATGTTTGACTTGTAAGTTTGACAGCTGTCACAGAAAACAAAATTGCTACACAAAAGTATATATTTAAATAAAGAAGACATCACAGGCTATTTATTTAAGGGTATTTTGACACTTTTTACATAGCCTTTTCCCCACCAATCTCTGCTACATATTGTAGTAAAATTGTGTTTTTTCTGTTTTTTGAAATACACACATGTAACAAGGTTTTTTAAATGTGTATTTTGTAAAGCTGCTGTGTGCTATTCCTGGTCAAAATCCCATTTTGTGT